ACAAGTAACCCCAATAATTAGCATTTGTAACTAAACTGTTTTGAATAAGAAACTTGAATAAGAAACCTTACTCCTTTCAAAAAATCAATAATTTTCCCAAGACCAGTGTAACCTTGAAAAACTTCAACGGCTCGAAGTAATAGTAACGCATCATCTCCATAATTTGCAGATCTGATTAATGGATGGCCATTACCACTATTTTCCAAATTAATCAGTTTATCACAAACATCACAACATCTTGCACGTGGATAACTATTTTTCACAGATTCACCAAAATGAGATAAAAGCAAACTGAAATGCATAAATACTTTTTAAGAATTATAATCAATAGAAAATTTAGTTCTTCAGATCTCTCGAAATATTTATGATTGCACTTGAAAGTTATTGAACTTTAGCAATTTCAATTTTACAAAAAAAATAGGAAGACACCTGCAATAAAATTTTAAAAGGCGTTTTTTGCTTTTATAGCTGTTTTATACTTTATATGAAAAACAAAAACGCCTTCAGAGAGCAGAAAATTGAATTTTTGAAATCAAGAAATATGAAAAATTTTTAGACAAAATTCAATCGGTATTTTATCTTCACAATTATTTTGCCATAAAGAATTTCAAGGAAAAGAAAAAAAATCATTACTAGTTTTTACTTCAGAAAATTACAAGAAACATGAAACTGCCGATGAACGAAGCAGAAATAGTAAAAAAATTTACGATCGTCTACAATTTACTGTGTGAAGAAACTGTTCCATCATTGAAAGCATTTCTGTAAGATGCTTCTTGTATTCCTCTTTCAAGCTTTTATCTCTCAATATGGAATGTCTGCAAGTCAGCAACAAGTAAAATGAGATTACATTCATTTTGGAATGACATTGTTTTTTCTTTTATCTTATCTCTTCTTTAGCATTCAGGAATCATTCGAAAATTGTCTTATATCCCAACATCTAACACATGTTTTAAAAGCGAAGCATAGACAAAACATAAACTCTCTTGAATTTTGAGGACGCTTACCGATGTTTAACTAAATCATGATCTTTATAAAGCACGATGCACATGCTGGGACATCCATCACGTCCTGCTCTTCCAATCTCTTGGTAATAACTTTCGATATTTTTTGGAGCTGAAAATTAAGAACTAATCATAAGCCAATAACTATCTCAAACAAATTTAGAGAAATGATGTCGATTTCATTTGAAACTGCCAAGTTTTAAATCGCAGTCATAAACACATAGATAACTAAATGAAAAAATTAAAACTTTTAAGAGACCTTCTGATTTTCACTAATAAATTGATAAATTTTTGAATATCTAATAAGAAGATCAGTTTTTCTATACTGACAACTAAGAACAGAACAAAAAACATAGATCTAAACGTCGACTTGTAAATTCAACACTGCACGTCAAACCTCCATAATGTATGACATTGCGAACGTCAGGTTTATCGATTCCCATACCAAATGCCACTGTAGCAATCATTGTTGTTATACGATCTTTAACAAAGTTTTCATGTGCTTTACGCCGTGCTACCACAGACATTCCAGCGTGATATCGTGCACATTTGACCCCTGTTTCTGAAACAAAATTTGGGGTGAATCGTCTAGAATAATTTAAAGTACTTGAGAAGTGAATGTAATATCTGAGTTTCAGACTTACAAATCACATATATATCACAACTAGATATAAAGAAAAGAAAGAAAAGCTACCACTTCTTATATGCACAAAATATTGAGCCATGTCTGAAACTAATGATTCTTACTAGATAATGTATCATAAATTTCGTTGACCAGAGTACGAGTAGAACAATAAATAATTGTTGATCCATTAAAATGTTTTCCGTTTTTTTCATCTTCATTAGTGAGTAAATTTAATAACTCTTTCAAACTTGCTGGGCTGCGCACAGACAAATATAAATTCGGCCTAAAATCAGAATAGCTTTAGAATACTACTGTTAAATTAAAATTGGTTTATTTCCATTGTAACTACAAAGCAGTATCCGGATGATTCATGACGATTTACCCTAATATTATTAAGAATAAGAAATGCTGCAATGATTGTTCAGACTAAACTGCTTTGAAAAGCTTAGATCTATGATTTCTTCAGAAAAGCTGGCCGATCAAGTGATGCACATGTGATGACTGGTTGGTGGAGTTCCAAATTCTTAACAATATCCATTTTAACTTGTTGCGTTGCAGTAGCTGTTAGAGCCATTACCGGAACCTTTCCATTGAAAATACGACGAACTTCAGCTAAGCGTCGGTAATTAGGGCGAAACTCATGTCCCCACTGAGAAACGCAATGAGCTTCATCAACAGCTAACAAACAAACATCTAAAAAGTATTTTTCATCCAAAAGAAACTTTAGATGAAAAAACAGTATTTTGTACAAAGAATAGCACAGAGAATATCAAAAGGATAATAAACTGACTGTAAAAATGTTAATTATTTGCATTATCATAACAAATAACTCACTTTTACGAATAGATTTCAGCAAAGAGCTGTTGTGGAGAGCAAATTCAGGAGTAATGTAAAGTAAACGCAGGCTACTCGATTCAAGAATTGAATGCTGTTCATCCGAATTATTTTCGCTACTTATACAGGCTGCTTCAACACCATTACATCTATATAACAGTTTTACTCAAAAAAGGAAGTCTAGTTACCTAGTTTTGTCTTGCATAGCTTTACTTTTAACATGAAGAGCTGATATAATTACGGATACTTTCCGTTTTACCTGACGTTTTCCACTTGGTCGTTCATGAGAGAAATTAGGGGAGATATAACGATAGTCAACTTTTTAGTATACAAAGATGGTAGCTGGTAGCAGACGCTTTTTCCGAAACCTTAAAATCAAATACTTAATAAATGAATGACTTCAGAAAAAAAATCTATTTCAAAAGTTTACGCACCTGTAGACATTACTACAACTTGATCTATCCCATCGAGCGCATTCTTAATTATTGTCCATTGTAAAGGTCGAAAACTGTCATGACCAAAGAATTTTTTTAGTAATAGCAGAGCATCTTCTCGTACAATGCTGCTATTATTTTGGGACGAAGCTGACTGCATAGTAATGAGTGGATCTGAGATTGAGCATTCCTTACTATCTTCCTCCATCATCTAAATTAATCGAATAATTCCAAAATTTTACCAAGAGCGTATAGAAAATCTGTCTGTCCTCTAAGATACATAAAACATACCGCATCAACCAGTTCTTGGTCGCTTTCCGACATGATCCTTCTTTTACAATCGAATCTTTTTACAATTCTGGAAAAACTTGAGATACAATTTCCATCCTTATAAAATAATAGCTTGAAAAGTCATCCTCTGGAATCTTATAAGTCTTAATTTCTTTCCCTATAAAGAGTGAAATAAAGTTATAAGATTCCAAAGAATGACTTTTCAAACTATTATTTTCGCTCTCAGCTTCTCTATCAACGACTACGATCGACATTAGAAAAATGAAACAGAGAAGGACATAACTACGTTAAACGAACTATAAATTCATGGAGAAATTTTATTCACTACAAGAATCTAACAATAAATTAAAAATGGACAATTCTGTGAAAAGTTAACAAAATTTTTGTTTTACACCACTTCCAAAAATTTAAAATTACACTTTACATGCAATATAAAAATTGAACAACAGCCCAGAAAATACATACAATAAACTTAATAGTAAGAATACTTTTGAAAAAAAGCACAAAAAAAAACAATTCAGATTCCGAACGAATCTAAATTACTATATAAATCCTAAGAAATTTTAGAATACATGGCATAAATATGAAGTAAAAAACACTCTACACCGAATCACCGAAAAAAAAGTGCACCTGTTTTTCAGCTGCCGTAGTTATTACTGGAGCAATAACTGAGAAGTTAATAGCAGTAAATATTATGGATAATGAAAGCAACCATAATATATAAAGAGGGTGGTGAACGATTTAGCGAAAGTTTCTGAGGCACAATCAAGATAAAATTTTTTTAATTATCAATAATAAACTTGCCTAACAGAGAAGGAAATAAAAGAATGTAAGTTAAGAATATATACTAGTAACTGAGCCCGACTTGAGAGGAAATTCGATAACTAATCGCTTGAAAAATAAGCATGAGAAAAAATAAAAACAATGAAAAACGCCTGAAGTTTGTGACTTAACGAGATCGATAAACAAAATGTAGTACATGGCGTTTGTTACAACTTGCACAAGCAAAATAAAACTGGAAAAAAACAAGCAAAGGCAACAAGAAACGGTATGAACATATGGCTAGTGTCCTGTTCTGCATAAGGATCCTCCACCAGGGGTTCATCTTCGAAACGACTAACCTCACCACGGGGTTCAGTATCTGTTTCTTCATCCATCTCTTCACCCTCTATATCGTCTTCAAATGACATTTCGTATAAAGGTGGGATATCCTTTAAAAACCGAAAATTAAAGGTAGCCAATAGAACAAGCAACTAATAATTATATTATTGTACATAAAGTTTTTTTTTAAAATTTTATAGGTACCGATTTCGAACCACGGTAGATATAAAATGCATTGATTTTCGGATTATCCAAAGAGCCCTGAAATAATTTCATTTCACAGCCATACAAAAGTATGAAATTCCATAAAATATAAATACTAGCAATCAATTTGAAAAAAAAAACTTGCCTTGGCTAATGTGATTTTTACATAACCAGATGTGTCGCGTCGATCAGAGTACAACAATACACCATTCTTGACCTATGAGTAATAAGTATTACCAAGCTACCATACTATTACATTACACTTTTCACTGATTCTGAGTATTATAATATAACGCAACCACTGAAAATTCCTTACAGAAAATACATGTTTGATCACGATAAGTGCTTAAGATTACTATAATTAGTAAAACCGGAGTATGAGGAAAACCAATTGTGAAAATGTAAATTTTCATGTTACTACAAAGCTTGTATAAACTCAGAAAATTTAGCAAAAAAAAACTGCAACATTGGCGGTATTTTTCATTGCTAATACCACACTGATAAATAGATAACAGAGAAGATTTCATGCACAATTTTTGATATACGTTATAAACCGCAGTGTATTTCAAGTGAATTTGTTTTGAGAAAAACTTGATTAGGGAACAAAAAGTTAGTTTAAAGAAATTTTGGAGAATAGAAAGAGAACATTACATAGAAAGTCAACAAATGATCATAGGCGACACCAATGCCTCCTGCCTCTTTAAATATATCTAATTCTGCAATCATCACCTCGTCATTGAGCAGAACATCAAATACCTAAAAATAATGCAGTTCGCTCAAAATTAGTGGAAATAAATCAACCATATTCTGTATTCAAAAGCCGGACATGAAGAGTGATATATTCTTACTTTTTGTTGAGACGATTGAAAATAAACTTCACAAAATTTCAGAACTAAAGTGTATTCGCCATCTTCTTCAGGTACAGGTACTGTATAGGTAAAATCATTGGTGTGGTATCTAAAATAGCTTCAGTCACTGGTTAATCTGAAATTTATACTTCCGAGCCAACTCCTGAATGAAATGAAAATTCCATTCCTTATGATTTATTACTTATTCGAGAAAAGATTTATATGGCAAAGAAAAAAATAACAAACGTCATCGGTTAGTCTCATGTTAAAAAAATTTCTCACACCACTGAGACGAAAGAAACATGAAAAAGATACTAGTCATATACTTTAAACATCGAAAGTTTTCAATTTAAATCATAAGACTTCCTGATCGTACCTTTCAGTTTGATAAAGAATTGCATCGTGCGAATCAACCCTCATTATTGATAACCTACTACCATAATCCGATGCAATGCCAACATGTAATGGATCTGCTTGATAATGAACACCATATATATCTACATGTTCCTGTCCACCTGAAATATAGCATAACTACTCTTACTATGCACTTTATTTTCTTTCGTTAAACTTTTACAGTCATAATTTTGAAACGTAACACATCTATGTTATTTTCGCAAAAAAAAAATAATTTTTGAAGAGTCAATCATCGATTATTAAGATGAATAATCAAGATATCACAGAAAATGCAAAGATAGTTTGATGATTAAAAAACGATTGCTCTATTACTGGACGTTCAGAACAGAACCAACTGGTAACTTTCATTCTCAAGGATATAGGTATCAATATCACACTTAAATCACATAACTTTTCAGTGAGAGAAGGTAGTCTTAAATGGAAGATAAAATTTCAAATTATGCAAAGTAATAAAAGTGTTTATTGATCGCGGCTCTAAAACAAGATCTCTGATGAATTTGGTGAATTTCTGCTCACACAAAACAATATTCCAGTTACTGTTCTGAGCCTTTGTTCATATTTCAAAGCAAAATCGAGAGTTTTCAACTTCAATCATAAAACACTGTTAAAAAACGATTGCTCTATCATTGGACGTTCAATCAATTCTTGAAATTTGAATACATTGTTTCGTTATTTTAAGTATACAAATTACGAGCTGATCATTAAATAGAAACATTGCATAATGAGATAATGATTCTTGTAGTGTAAATTACTAATTGTTAAAATAAATAATCAGTCCTTTTTCCAAGAATAATGATGATATTAGCTTTCGTACTCGTAGCATTTTTTTCAGTTGAATATTTTAAAACTGGTAAAAAATACAGTCAAGCAATTTTCATTGCGAAGACTATTTAATAAAATGATACTCACCACAATTGACAGCAAAATAAATATTATCACCAAGGAAAATATCTTCCACGGCCAGAGTTAGTAAAGGTAACACTATGAGGCTTAGCCATCGCTTGAATTCCAAACTTGTCATCTGTCACTAAAATTTGATCAAATTTGAAGCAATCACTGAAATTTAAACCAAAATACAATCATCAAATTTGAATAAATCATCGAAATTCAAATGAAAACTTTATTAAGACTAAATCAGTTGCAGAATCAACTCGGATAAATCATACGAGTTGTGTCTATAAAACAGAATCAAGCAGAACACAAAACAAGCTCTTCTACTACACTAAAAATTATTACTGACAACGAATTTGCAATAAATGCAAAATTTGTATCGCAGAAAATGCCAAAATATACTGCAGCCAGTGTTACAGGAAAAGAGGAAAAGAGTGAGTGAGTATTAACAAGGAATTTTTCTTGCTTCATTTGCATATTTTGGAGTGACAATTTGGAGTAGTGCGACATTACAGTAAGACAAAGTAATGCACTGCAGCCTCTTGATTTTATTTCACAAAAATTTCCGTTTCAGCAAATGCTTTACTAATTTTATATTATCGACCACTAAAGCACGATCAATAATTGCTAAGTTAGTCTGTACTACCTAATCGATTACATTACAATTCATTAACGAATAACCTTTGACCTGCCACTGAGAAATTACTTCTACAATCCAAATCATACAATATGATATCAGTTAATCTCATTACAGATGTAATTCTCTTCATTTTCCGCTCTTCAAGCATTACATCTATTTTCTATTAATCAACACTTTGAAAAAATTAAATTTTTATCACCTTCTGTCTATCTATCCACCTATTTGTCTATCTCTCGGTCTATCTATCTTTCTGTCTGTCTATTTTTCGGTCTATCTATCTATTCATCTATATATATATCTTCTTGTCTGTCTATCACTTTGTCAATCTGTCCATATATTTATCTATCTGTCTGTGTATCTGTCTGCCTATCTCTCGTCATCTCCACAACCAATTCAATTTTCCACGTATGGAATGGAATACAAAAGTTGCACAACGCTCTGCGTGTTTTTTGTTTATCCGTGTAGAGAAATTTTTGAATTTCAAACAGCACATGTACTAGATTGACCTATATGAGACATATTCTGCTGTATTGACCTTTTGAGAAATAAATTATATTTCACAACTGAAGCCTATTTGTTACATGTTTAATTAAACTATCTACGCATTATAGTTAAATTTGCTTAGCATTTCACAAATCATTATGATTTGCTAAATTTCTAGGTGGAAATTCAGGAACGAGAAGCCGTCATGGATGTCAACACGCCTTGGTAAGCTATTTTGCCACTTTTATTCTAGTTATATCCATAACAGTACATGCATGTTTTGGCAATAGCGTGATAACAAGCTAGGAATAATTCTTGTTTGCTCACGCGTAATTATTGTTATAAGGGAACAGAAGAGAACTGCTTGTAATCTAAGTTGTGTAGTGTGGATGAAGTAATTGTACTGCGAATATGTAGGGCAGAAGATGAATATTCCAAACTTTATGATTACTTTTGTTTTTTGCCATAATCGATTATGACGGATATTCACTTCACATTTTAAATCGTCTATTTTATGTGAATTGGTTCATTCAGTTAGATCATCGTATGACTGAACAAAAACGTCAGTTCTAGTATTTTCTGCATTAGTTAGATTAACTAAATTATACTTTTTTCTTTTTATAGGGTTGAAAAATATAGGCCGAAGTATTTATCAGAGGTAGTGGGAAACAGTTTTGTTGTTCAACGTTTGGCTGTCTTTGCAAAGCATGGAAATACACCGAATATTATTATTTCAGTTAATTTTTAACTTATTGTGAATTCATATTGCTGGATACATAATTATATGCAAAATTTTTGTAACAAAATTAAAGGGGCCACCAGGTTGCGGCAAAACAACAAGTATTTGGGCATTGGCAAGAGAAATGCTAGGAGACCGTCTAAAAAGTGCCTGCTTGGAATTAAATGCTTCTGACGACAGGTTGCTCATCTATTGTTTTTACTTTTAATTTTTTCATTAATGTTAAAAACTTTCTTTAGTTGTCCTTGTCAAAATGCTACTCATGCACTTTATTTCTTAATGACTTAGATTAAAGTAATTAGACTTAGATTTAAGTAATTGTGTATCAAATTTGAAATTCAATTTCAGAGGAATAGATGTAGTAAGAAATAAAATCAAAAACTTTGCTCAAAGCAAGGTAACATTGCCACCTGGGAGACACAAAATAATCATATTAGATGAAGTAGATTCGATGACAGAGGGAGCCCAACAAGCGCTCAGAAGAACAATGGAAGTGTATAGTAAAACGACTCGTTTCGCACTCGCTTGCAATCAGTCGAGTAAAGTTATAGGTAATTCTATTTTAGCAGAAAGTAGATACTTTTCTAGTAAAAATAGTACTTGAAATTGCTCGGCGTAAAAGCTAAAGACCTACATCAAACCAAAGCAGTTACCAAGAATTTCACAGAATTATGTCTGTTATTGATTATACCTCTTAACGTAATAAATATTCTTACATATGGAAGACCTATGATTTGTTTTCAGAGCCTATTCAATCTCGGTGTGCCATTTTGCGATTCACAAAACTTACTGAAGAGGAAATTGCTAGACGGATATTACTTGTATGTCAAGCAGAAAAAGTGGCTTTCGATGAAACTGGAATCGATGCTGTAGTTTATACTGCTCAAGGAGACATGAGACAGGTAATATATTAATATATGTACCTTTTTTATAGAATCAAATTTATAAACTCCTCATACTCGCAAATTATGATGAGGAAAAAGCGTAGGTAGATGTGATTTATATTCAGTATACAATTCACAGCGATAGATAGGACTGAGGAATTCCAAATAACTCACTGCAGGCTTGACAACAGGCTATGGTAAACCTTTTAATGAATCTACATAATTTTCCATACTTTTATCTCTTCATAACAAACTATGTTTCGTATCTTTCAGGCACTCAACAACTTACAGTGCACAGTAGCTGGATTCCGTATCGTCACAGCAGATAATGTATTTAAAGTAAGCTATATTGATAATTATTTACAGCCTTACTGGATTTTTTAGTTTTTTGAGATGTAATAATTCACTTCAATAACTAACCTACAAAATGAGAAAGAATTCTGTACCGTGTTTAGATATCAAAAAATTCATACAATCATTGTCTTGGAAATTCCGAATGGAAACTTTGCAAATAAGTTTCTGGGTTCTGGAACTCTATAACTCATTTGAACCGTGGAACGCTATTCATGATAACATGTAGATTCGGGAATACTATCTATGGTAATTTATCAAACCAATGTATGAAGAAGTCATGAAATACTCCAAAATTTTAGGTTTGTGATGAACCACATCCAAAAATGATTATGGAGATTATTGACCACTGCGTTACTGGGAGAGTTGTGGAAGCCAATGAAAACATTCACAAACTTTATCGAATGGGTTACTCATCGGAAGATATTCTAAACAACATGGTTCGTATATGCAAAACAATCAATATCCCAGAATACCTGAAATTAGAGTATATAAAGGTTGTTAGCTTTGTTTTTATACTATTTGGAAAGTAAATATTATGGAATCAAGAATCAAATAATGCTCAGTGCTGATTTCAGGAAATTGGTTTGTGCCATGTAAAAGTAGTAGAAGGACTGAGTTCGCTACTTCAATTATCTGCTTTGATTGCTCGAATGTGTCTCAAACAAAGTGTGATATCATAATTTAGTATAAAATAGTTGAGGCTTGAAACAATTTTCTGTATCCAAATGCTTCATGAAAAGAATTCATTGTTCCATATTTGTATCTCACCAAAATACATTTCTCATAGATCCAGGAATAATAACCTTTTCACAAGTTGTTAGTAGAATTTGTATCTTCCTGTCGCAGTACGTTTCCAAGCACAATTCCGCTGAATAGAATGACACCAAGCCACTAAAAATTTAAAATATTTTCTCATTCAGTTTTAAATGATACTTTACAGAATGTTAGTGTTATCAAGATATTACAACCAAATTCTTAAAATTCGTAACGCATTTGTTGAAAGATGTCTTTTCATTTTGCTCAATTTCTTTTACAAAAGATGAATACTATCTCTTAAAAGTAATTCATTTTTGTTTCGTGAATATCAATCGCATTCTTGGTTTTTTAACACATAATGTTACGTACCTTTGAATTAAAGAACTACAAGGACTGTATGATAACTGCTCAAAATATCGCAAAAAAGTTTGATTAGTAATTTGTTTTACTTGATTGGTTTTGAATTTCTTCCAACAATCGTTAGGGTCGTTAATATTTACTGTCCAAATTTGCCACGAAAGATGAGCTGCTGTAGCCGATAATGCAGTGTAGAAGGGCCATGTTTGATGCAGCATAGCGCCTGTTGTACCGAAACCTAACACTGTAGCAACTGCGAACCCTGTGAGCCACTTCTTTGTTTTGTCCCCAAAAAGCAATGCTGTGGATTTAACTCCAGCCATAATATCATCTTTTTTGTCCTAAATGAGTTAAGTAAGACATCTAAAAAAGCAAATATATTAGCAGCAAAGCAGTGACCCACGAAGACCGAAGTACTTCCACTGATTAATTTATAACACAACAAAGTAAACTTTAAGAATTTTAAGAAAAAACTTCTCAAGGAGTCAGTTGCAATTTTCTGCTAAAAAGTAAAGACCAGTCCTAACTTCCACGATGAACTGTACTAAGTTTAATTTATGTCATTGATATGTATGAGTAAATATGCATGGGGTTCCAAGCCTATTCCACCTGATGAGCGTATATTGTGTCGTAAATCAAAGTCCAATTCAGCGATGCCAAATAGAGTAAAAGTGCCACGATCCAGCACAGTTCATCGCGTACAGCGGCCCAGCCCAATAATGCTCCCCAATTGAAAGCCAATCCTGTGGAATCAGAAGGTGTGATGTAAAATCAACTAGGAATTGCAGCCTTTAAACTATCACTTCTAACTCTCATAAACTACTCTAAAAATAGCAGGGCGAGGAGGGCTTACCACCTCAAATTCATCCTTTGCAGAGATCATGTGAAAGCTTAACAAAGCTTGTTAAACTGCAATGAAAAATAGATTTATTGAGAGTACAAATCTTGTTTTAATTAAAACAACTCTCGGAAAATTAAAATCTATGTACGATTTAGTAGGCGCTTCAAACCGTCCAAAGTCTCGCATTAGGCAGTAGAAATTATGGATGAATAGAGCGGACAAGCAAATCGCTAATAGCATTATGCAATTTCAATAAATTATCGGGATCTTCAGTTCAAGTAATGGGTTGTTTTAATGATGTGAAAAAAATTCGCTTTGTTCACAAAATTTTAAAGCAATCTCGTTGAAGCTTTAAATAAGGAAGCGAAAAATATTATAAACTTTGACATTGCAATGAATGACGAACATGAAATAAATAAAAAAGAAAATGAATAAAACTAAATCTTGAAAGGATTGTTAAGTACTGTGCTGAAATGATATGAAAAAATTAAGCAAGAGAGTTACAGGTCTCAGCACTGTTGCTAAAACAAAACTGGTATTATTTTGACAAGTGAGACACTGCATTAATTACTCTGCTTCCATTTAAAGGTCATATACCTGGATTTAAATTCGAAAATAGTTTTGTACTAGGCAAAAATAATATAATTTTTTACGAGGTTAACATAAAGACTGCGAAGTAAATACAGACTCTTAAGGTGATAAAGCACTTTGTAAATAGAATTTGATATTATTTTAGTCGTGTAAATAATTTTAAAATTCAAAAATTGCATATATTAATGAGCTCCTATTAACGTGAGTTAATTTTTGAGTATACGTATGACAATATTAGACACAATACCTGCTGACTATATATGGTATCATAGGTAGCAGTGTAAAGCACTGTAGCAGTGTATAAAGGAATCACAGCAAGCAGTGTTTTCGGACACAGATGACACCACGCCAAGAGTACTCCCCAGTTAGAAGTAAGCCCTGAAAATTCTCAGTACTCACTAATAAGATGCGAGTGCTTAAGTTTCTGGATGATCAGTTCTGAAGCTTTTCAAATTACAGAAGCAATGCTGTAAGAAAGGGATTAGCGGACAAGGTAGTTCCACTGCAACCACTGGTGTAATACAACGACAATCTTCAAACTTTATGAGGGCTAAACCACTCCTGCTCTAAAACGGTAACCTAATTCTAATTTAAATAACACACAAGAAATTTAAATAAAATGACAAAAATACCAAGAACTAGTTGCGGCCAATATGTAAATCGTTTTGCCAACGGGTATGCAATTACTAGTGACAATGAACTTGCACCTACGATAACACTAAAAATATGCCTTCAAAGTTTACTAGAATTTTCCACATCAACAGTTCTAAAAGAAATTTTCTTTTTTTATTAAACTCTAAACTTCTATCATTATTATGATGAAGTTACTGAAATATCTACGCATAAAAAGCTAATCAATATAAAAAATCATAAGGTAAATTTTTCATATGAAAAAAACCAAACCTAAACCAATTAAACTGCAAAAGTATTGAAAGAGATCCAGATAACAATACTGCAAGAAGAGCAAAAGCTTCTCGATTACTAAGTTCTCCACTAGCAAGTGGTCTCGACTGCGTTCTTCTAACCTCAATAATATGAGGAAATATAATGCATGCTCACAGTGTTGTTAAAAATCTAAATATAAAAAATATGCAGTGAATTAATCAAAGTCGAATTTGTACCATTTTATCGTAATTTTTGTCAAAAATATCATTTATGACGCATCCCGCAGAACGCATTAATATCGACCCACACGCGAATAACGCAAGCATTTTGAAATCTGGCAATGACCCCGGTGGTGCGGCTAGCCCTATAGACCAGGTACATGGCCAATACAACAACCAAAAACCTGAAAAGCTGTTAAATAAGTTATGCACTTTTGGTTTTTTCATTCAAGTTATGCACTTTTGCATAACTTGAATGAAAAAACCAAAATTTCCATTATGGAACGCCAGAGAGATATTTTAAATATAGCTATAGCTAAATGTCAGATAATTTGCTTTTTTTTTTTAATACAATACCTGTGGGTTTGTCAATACGCATGAGCCTAAGATATGGTTGTGCAATCTTCGGAGCGACCTGAACTAATTTGGCCCCTGATAGAGTTCTTTCTGTACAGATCACATGAGATGGTATTCCAATGCATGGTAATGACCGCTTATAAGCAGTAGTAAGAACCAAATGTCGAATGCAGCTGGGGAATACGTTCATTGAAACAAACGACCTTCCTTAGTTTTTTTTGCACTTCATTCAATTACCTGCAATATTTTTAAAAGAATACCAAAGACTTATCTTCTACAGCTAAAATAATTACTACACCACTTCTTATGGCATTCGCATTACAAAATTCTGATACATTACAAGACAGACGCAGAATGGTATCTTTCTACAATAGCACTGCCAGCACGCTACCGTGAGGTCGCATTTCCTTGAAGTAATGAAAAAGTGTTTATTATTGTAACAAAATTTTAAAGTTGCGCAAAGCTTTGTAGCAAGAACTATACAAGAAAAAAGAGCAAATGTTTCGATATATAACAATGCAGAATAAAGGCATGAACAGTGACCCTTGTAAAAAATTTCTATATACTTGTAAAGATTTACAAAAATATCACTTTGAAAGAAAAAAGCCGTTCTTAAATTTTCTACTTCAGTTTCTTCATATCGAAACAGTTAGATTTTACTATTTATAGGGGCAATATACAGCAAGAAGTAACTTATTATGTCTCACCGGAATAATTTTACAAAAATCTTAAATTGCAAAGCTTTCTAATCTTTGTATTGTTATTGTAACTGCAATTTATTCATTACCTTAACTGCGAATTATTTACATGAATAATAAGTTGCAAAGTATTTACTTGAAAACATCTTAAATGCAAAAAGCACAACGAAAAAATATCAAGTTTAATGTTTTTCCTTTTCCATATCCAAAGCTATAATCATGAAAACGTAACTGCTCAAAACTGAAAATACTTTCGTCTCCCTATAACTGTCAGAAAATGAACTTCATTTTTTTAGCAAGATTTGTGCTTCAAAATAAATTGAAACTAAACAAATTCAACACAAATTAAAATGTTTTCACCAACATACTACAGTATTCTTCAACATTTTCAACAATTCACAACACTGTGAGTACTGCAAGTAATTCTTGCTGTTATCTCGGTATTATCAATAGCCAACTAATGACTTCAAGTACGAAAATAACTTTGTGAATATAACATACACGCTCAGCTTTTTTGACTTCAATTACCTAGATAACAGAAAGAACATACTTGAAATGAATTACAGGAATATGCCATGTAAGAATCAATATTTTTTCTGTCCTTTACATTCCGTATTTCTGAATAAGTTTTTCAACAAGTTGCACATACAGTCCTTTAGCTTCTTCCTCTGACATACCTGCAACAGAAAAAACAGAATAACAGTACACTACATATACAACTAAGTAGCTCAATGATTTCTGAAAATCATTGCTAAAAATTTGAGCAATATTTTTATATTTCATCAACATGGGAAGTTTGGTTAGCTGTCAATATGTGGTTTTTTGATTTAAAAATCATGAGTTGTAAGTCATATATTTTACGTTTACTGTATTATTCATTATTAATCACACATTTAAAAAGTGCAGTGATTTTTGGCAAATATTGGTGGTTAAGAGGTAGTGCAATCAGTGCAATGAGTTTAATCCAATACAAGTTTACTATAAAAAACTTTATAGTAAACTTTATAGTTCCTTGGGGAATTTTAGTAGATTACAATGAAGGATTGAAAGTATAATTACTAGTAACCTTTCAGTTGCTGCCACGCATCCCATTTGGCTCGACCTTTAACATCTACCCAAGGTTTGCTTCTGCTATTATCTCCTTCAGTGGCTTGTTTATACAGTCCATATAATTGTAACAATTCCTCATCACTCGGTCGTTCCTTTAATTTTTTCACGCTCACAACAGCTTCATTAAAATCCATCTCCTACAATTAATTCAACAATATTACATCTGAGTCACACCACCAACAGCAACATTCCCATTAATAATACACGCATTATTGTAATGCTATGTTCAACATGAGAAACGTGAATTTTCATCATGACCTATCTCAAAATGCTTTACACTTTTTCAGGACGAATATTTTGTTAACTCAGCGCAAACTCTAAAATACTTATCAGGACAAATTGTTGCAAATGATCAAACTAGTATTTGGAAGTTTTTAATCTAATTTTCTTTAATTGCTATGGCACGAATCTCTTCTGAGTTAATCAGTTCCAAAACACTCTATTTCTAGATTTATCTGATCTCATTAGTTAGTAGTTATTCATAAAGTATACTTCTGTTTATAAGAAGCTTTTTATTTAACTAGGTTTGTTTGGTTCTTCTTCAACATTTTTGTATTTTTATATGGATGAGTTACGTTACGTTTTGAAGTAAAATCTTTATTTTAAGAGGTTTTTCAGAGCAGTCAAAAAGCCAAAGATGAATGTAATATCGCAAGTAGAAGCACCCGAAGAAAAGGCTGTCGATCGTGAAAAGGTTATGAAATCCTAGTTCTTAGTCATGGCTTTGATTATCTGTTGATCATACGGTGAAAAGTAATTTTCCGTAAGTGCTGAAAAGTATTCATATATTAGATCATTTCGATTTTTACTTAAAAATAGTCAGAAATTGAATTTCGAGAGTAGGAGCTGTAGAAACTGATTAATTTTATGATTCTGTAGCTATTTTTTAGATCTGTCCTCTGTTGTTGCGAATATTTTGTGCTAATGGACGGCATAATCCGCTATCGGAGTATGGACGTGGCAGCACTCCTGCTAATGAATTACAAATATATACTTGGTAATCCTACTATCGCACCTTATTTTCCATATTTTTTTAATGTGCAGTCGAAATTACTGTATACAGCTACAGTTTATTCACATTTTGCACACTATGTTAATTTTCCCAGTAGGATGTTTATTTTAGAAATTTTACATTTTTATAGTTACAACATATATTATATGACTTCATAGTGATGATCAAATTCAAATTTTATTAATTCCTCGAATTGACTTAGGTTGGACTGTACTTTGAGAGAATTGATGTCACTTATCAAAGAAGTTAATCCAGATGCTCGACGACGTGGCACTACGTTTGATTTTGCTATTGGTAAGATTGTCATAGAACAAGATCTAAATTTCTAATGATTCCAAGCTTTTGTAATCCAACGAACTCGGTTGTGATGTACGCATTGGCGATTGAAGACATGATAGCTTATGACTTATTGTTTTGATCTCATATTGTTATATTTCAGTGGCTCCAGACCGTTTCACTCCTCGTTATGTGATGAGGGATATTGGTAACACAATGAATGGGCAGCGTGGTGTTGATGATAACAAAACTGTAAGTTGAATAGAATAAAAGGATATTTTAAATAGTTTTCAGATATATACTGCTTTTTTGTACCTAATTTTGTCTTGATAGTTTTGAGCTTTCAAAATTTGTCTCTTTTTCATATGGATTATATAAGTTCAGTAACTTCACTATTTCCAGAATCTATTTCTCGTTACTTATTCCTTGATAAATTACTTTCTTCTTCTTTGCACTTCATATATATTCATCATCCCTCTTATAGTTAGCGAATTGCAAATTCGAAATAGGTGACTTCATCGATGTGGCAATTACACTCCCAGGCATTGGACCAGTTGGACCGGTATTGCGACGCAGTGGAGGAATTCCGATGCGAGATCGATCTCCAATACGAAGAAGAGTTTACTAATTAACATTGTACTTTATTACTTTCCACAAGCTATTTGTATTCACTGATGTCCATTTTTGAAAGTTGTTCTTAAATATTTCTGCCTCACTTTTTTTTGATAAAACAAACAAAGAAGCATGTTTTGTAAAAAGCTATTTTTGTGCAGTCGAATTGAATTTCGTTGTGAAAGAAAATGAAATGAAATGATATCTATTTTAATTTGACCTATTTAAGAGTTGTTTGAGTTGTTTCATGAAACATATAATAACTGGAAATTAGAATTGTGCATTTTGAAGAATAACTCTGGGAAGATTGTCATCAGTCTGTTATTGTTGCACTTTGAATTCATGTCATAAAGTCAGATAAAATTGTTGTGTTGTCTGGGGTCTTTCGCATTGTATTTTTAATACTGAGAAATTAGTAATAAATAATTAAGCTTTTCTGTCTACCCAGATTAGCTTTATTATAAAGAAAACTTATAATCACTGCTCATTCTAGTATGTGGCCAGTTGGGACGGTCGTCTTTTTGTTAGCATTATTTGCAGTTGTCAGGATAAGAGCACTCTGTTCTATGAAGAATCTTCCTCGATTTGAGGGGTATAACTTTGGTTTGAAGGGATAAATAGCATAGTTCTGGTATTTTCAAGAGAAGGAAGATACCAGAGTGGTATAGTAGTAGTTATGATTCATTCTTTGGTATTTAGGAGTTTATATTTTAGTGAATACATCCATTATGTTCTGTCATGGGACTGTCAGTTAACGGTAACACGAAGTTGGAACGGTGATTCTTTAGAAAAATTCAACGTTTCATCAGATCGGCTACATCTTTGCAAATCAGATGGTGCAGGAAGTCCTATACATTATGTTGAGGCACAAACTGACGGATCTCAAGCACCATTCTTAGTGTTCATTATTCGTTTTGATAAACTAAGTGGAACTAATATGAATATATGGCGAGTAGTGAGGTAAATATTCTCACTCACAATCATCGTAAGGTACATTAAAAAAGTTCATAACATGTTTTGGCTAATAGTTGGTACTAGTTTCGAACCTTCAACTAAACTAGATTCATATATATTAAAATAGTCTAATTGTTTCATGAGTCTTTTATGTAAAATTTTAAGCCAAAACAGAAAAAAAATTTTTAATGCAAATTTTTAAGCCATTTCAGAATAAATATTTCTGCAATAATTCATCGTAAACGTTTACGTCGTACAATTCTAGACAGTATTTATACAGATTATTTAAATCTTTCTACAAAGTACCATATTCGAACTTGTGCTTACGATTCTATGAATCGTATAATTTGTTTTTGGCAGGATGGCGATGGTCAATATGCACAGTTGTATAAATTATTCATAATTAATAATATAACTTCTGAATACAGGTATTTTGAAGCTCAACAAAAATTCAAGTCCTTGTATCCTTTTGACTCAATTATTTACTTATAGAATGATTTATGACTTATAAGCAATTTTGATTCATGTAAAAAATGTTTACAATTTTCATAATGTCTAGAGCAGTCAATGAAGCACATTATTTGGGAGGAAAATCAATTTATGGTAAAGTAGTTGGCAGTTTACCAGGTGCTGTTCCACGAGTACTTACTTATGAACCCTCACAACCTTCTTGGCTATTTGAAGTACCTGTAATGACTAATATTACCAGAAAAGAACGAAGAATTCAAGAAATGCGTCAAATAGGAAAAGTACTGATAAATAATTCTGATGCGAATTCTGCTAGCATACAAAATCATTACTGCGAGTAGAATTAATGGTATTTTCGATGTTGAAAAAGATATTGCCTAACAGTCTATTTTCATATTCATGCAAATTTCTACGAAAAAAAGGACTTCTTTTGCTGCCAAATAAACATTTTAATTATTAAAGTTATTTACATTACACTAATTTCATATTTCTATCATCAAAAATACAACGTATTATGCAATTAAAAAGTAGCGTGAAATTGATAAATTTCTTTGATAGAATTAATTAAGACAAAATTTTTGCTTTCTAAACGCTACACAATTAATTTAGTTCGTACTATTTAAATTTCTTTAGAAATCTTTACGCATGAACTTTGACATCTTCCAAATCCTGAAAAGTTTTGTTGTTCTAAGAAGGATAATGGCTGGCGGTATTTGCAACTTGGAATGAAAAATATTCAAAAATTTTATAATGCACATTGCTGAAATAGACTATGTTCAACTTCAAGCATATTAAATTATTGCTATAGATGAAAGGCAAATTGACGCAAGTAGCAGCGATGAGTAAACAATCGTTTTTGATTGGTGACTGCCGTGATTCGTTGTGTGAGTATCGATATAGTTTGCTGAGTTTGGTGAGTGTTCCTTGATCTTATTTATGCAAATATTTCTAGTCTCTCTCGAACTTATTATTGATTAGACTAGTTGAGCAATAAATTTTGTGGATTTTTAATCAAATCTGGCAGATAATCAGTCTGTCTGTAAGCAAAGAATTTTTTGTCAATTTAGTACTTGAGTTATTAGGCTAGTTTATTGCTTACAAGTTAAAATAAGTACGCTGTAAAAACTTTTTTTGATATTATCATTTTTATTGCTGCTTAGGATTACTTACTGAACCAGTGAGCACTATCATAGATTTACATGAAACTTATTATAAAGGTTACTGTTCATTTATGGTATGAATAAGTTTGAATAAATTCAATTTGTGCTATTAATTTAAATATTATTTAACATAAGTTAAAAACAAAAGTATCAATTGAATGCTTTATGATAGCAATCATAATTTTCATTTTTTTTCTATAACTTTTCTTTTTCATGCATTTGTTCTTTTCTTACATTCATCAAGCTTAAAAAATTAAACAACCTTCATCACTGTCTACTTCGATTTTATACTGTTCAAGTAAACAACCAATTCCCTTCTGATATTCCGTACAAGTAATTAACAGTCAATTTCATTCACTCGTTATAAGTATCGTTGAACTATAAGTGATAAATAATATCGTGCATTTGCAAACGAATGTTTATCTGTTTGAAATGAACTTCAGACTGCGAAAGCGCTAGTAACGTGTGTTTTCACATCGAATGTAGATGTTATTTCTGGTTTGTTTCAAGTGCCACAACAGTTGCTTATTTCAATACAAGCAAAAGCTGGCACAGCACAGATTGTCGAACCACTGGTCACTAGCGAAATTATGCAAAAAACAATTAGTATAAAGTGGTTAGACAATTCGATGGTGATCATCTATGCATTAACCGTGGCATCAGTGCTTTTTGCAAATATTTTTATCGAACTTTTGATTCTATTTCTGCCATCAGAGAAGATACCTATTTTTGAACAGAATTGTACGGTTATTTACAAATACTTATTCCCTGGCTTAGACACAGGTATATATTTTTACTCACATATTTATGTTTAAAACTAAGCAAAATATTATTGTATTTGACGAATATCAAGTCTTATAAAAAGTTAACAAAGTTAAACTAAACAAAATATTCGCTGGCTTAGATACCAACTTCAAAATGTCAAAAGAAAAGTTTTTCAAGTTGACTGTTTCAGCTCACTTATGACTGGTTACATTGGAAGGATGGATATTCAACATTTACGTGAGATGAAGTGCTTTCAAGTTGTTATTAGCATTAGCATTTGTTGGTTTTTATTTTTCAATTTAAAAGATTTTCATCAAAGATAAAACAGGAAAAAAAATTGTCGTATGTTGGTGATAAATAGAATGCAAATTTTGCACTGTGTGCCACACTTTGATCGCTTTTAAGCTAACAATTGTTGAAGAATGACTTTATTTTGGATAATTTTTTTGACTTTACTAACATCTCTTTACTCTTTACTCTTT